TTATTATTATTATTATTATTATTATTATTATTATTATTATTATTATTATTATTATTATTATTATTATTATTATTATTATTATTATTATTATCTACGTTTGAGCTGAGATGAGGGAGGGGACCTAGGAAAGGTCACGGAAGGCCTTTGAGGAAAGCTACCGCCAAAGAGGACCTCCTCCAGACGGAAGAGCGAAACCAGGAGGACCGCCAGTGGACCTACTTCCGTTCCATGATCTTCCTGAATTCTATCCTGGCCAACACACCACGAGATTGGGCTTGGATACGAGTGATGATCCGAGAGAGGCGTTCGTCTCTCATTTCCTCCAGCAGGCCCAGGAGTCCAGCCTTGAAGAAGACCTGGAGGGAAGCAGATTTAGAACATAAAACACTGAATAATAGAGTTGGAAGGGACCTTAGGGGTCATCTAGGCCAACCCCCTACCCATGGCAGGTGATCCGATACGATTTCAGCTGGATGGGATGGATAAAGAATAACAGAACAGAATAATCAGATGGAAAGGGATGCCAGAGGTCCTCCAGTCCACCCCCCAGCTCAAGCAGGAGACCCTGCTGTCCAGTCTCTTCTGAAAAGCCTCCAGAGATAGAGCACCCACGATTTCTGAAAGAAGTAACTATGAGGGGGATCTTGGAGTCCTAGTGGACAATCACCTAAATAGGAGCCAGCCGTGTGCTGCAGCTGCCAAAAAAGCCAACACAGTGCTATGCTGCATTAACAGAGGGTCAGAATCAAGGTCACCTGAACTGTTAATAGCACTTTACAAAGCCTGGGTAAGGCCACACTTGGAATACTGCATCCAGTTTTGGTCACCACGATGTAAAAAGGATGTTGAGACTCTAGAAAGAGTACAGAGAAGAGCAACAAAGATGATTAGGGGACTGGAGGCTAAAACATATAAGGAATGGTTGCTGGAATTGGGGATGTCTAGTTTAATGAAGAGAAGGACGAGGGGGGACATGATAGCAGTGTTCCAGTATCTCAGGGGCTGCCCCAAAGAAGAGGGAGTCAAGCTATTTTCCAAGGCGCCTGAAGGCAGGACGAGAAGCAACGGGTGGAAACTAATCAAGGAGAGAAGCAACCTAGAACTAAGGAGAAACTTCCTGACAGTTAGAACAATTAACCAGTGGAACAACCTGCCTCCAGAAGTTGTGAATGCTCCAACACTGGAAGTTTTTAAGAAGAGACTGGACAGCCATTTGTCTGAAATGGTATAGGCTTTCCTGCCTGAGCAGGGGGTTGGACTAGATGACCTCCAGGGTCCCTTCCAACTTTTTTTTTTTTTTTTTTATTATTATTATTATTATTATTATTATTATTATTATTATTATTATTATTATTATTATTATTATTATTATTATTACTACTACTACTATTATTAAGCCGTTCCATTGATTAATTGTTCTCACTTTAAGGAAATTTCTCCTTAGTTCCAGGTTGCTTCTCTCCTTGATCAGTGTTCATCCGTTGCTTCTTGTCCTGCCTTCAGGTGCTTTGGAGAACAGGTTGACCCCCTCTTCTTTGGGGCAGCCCCTGAGATATTGAAAGACTGCTATCATGTCACCCCTAATCCTTTCCTTTGTTAGACATACGCAATTCCTGCAGTTGTTCTTTATACGTTTTAGCCTCCAGCCCCCAAATCATCTTTCTTGCTCTTCTCTGTACTTTTTCCAGAGTCTCAACAACTTCTTTTCTTCTTAAGATTCTTCTTAAAATGGCTGCTGTTGTCTCCTAGCGCTCAATGGGAGCTCAGTGAATGAAGCCCATCGTCCTTTTCCAAGCACTGGAGTGAGGATAATTAACCAGTGGAACAACGGCTTCCCACCAGAAATCGTGGGAGCTCCATCACTGGAGGTTTTTAAGAAGAGACTGGACAGTCACTTGTCTGAGATGATATGGGTTCTCCTGCTTGAGCGGGGGGGGGGGGGCTGGACTAGAAGACCTCCGAGGTCCCTTCCATTCTATTCTATTCTATTCTATTCTATTCTATTCTATTCTATTCCATATTATCTACTGTATTGTATTGTATTGTATTGTATTGTATTCCATTCCATTCCATTCCATTCCATTCCATTCCATTCCCATTCCATATTTTCTATTGTATTGTATTGTATAGTCTAGTCTAGTCTAGTCTTCATTCCATTATTCTATTCTATTCTATTCTATTCTATTCTATTCTATTCTATTCCATTCCCATTCCATATTTTCTATTGTATTGTATTGTATTGTATTGTATTGTATTGTATTGTATTGTATTGTATTGTATTGTATTGTATTGTCTTGTCTTGTCTAGTCTAGTCTAGTCTAGTCTAGTCTAGTCTTCATTCCATTATTCTATTCTATTCTATTCTATTCTATTCTATTCTATTCTATTCTATTCTATTCTATTCTATTCTATTCTATTCCTATTCCTATTCCTATTCCTATTCTATTCTATTCTATTCTATTCTTAATTCTGTTCTTAATTCTATTCTATTCTATTCTTATTTCTATTCTATTCTGTTCTTATTTCTATTCTATTCTATTCTATTCTATTCTTAATTCTGTTCTGTTCTTAATTCTATTCTATTCTATTCTATTCTATTCTATTCTATTCTATTCTTAATTCTGTTCTTAATTCTATTCTATTCTATTCTATTCTATTCTATTCTATTCTATTCTATTCTATTCTATTCTATTCTATTCTCTCTCACCTTGGTGTGTCCAAATTTGTACTGGGTGTGGTCAATGTCCAGGGAGCCCAGAAGCTTCTCTGCCCCTTTCCGGCTGTCGATGAAGTGTCCCTCCGGGATGGCCGCAGGGTTTAGGATACGGTACCTCAAAAGGAAAAGAAGGAAAAGCTGTAAGTTCCTCTTCTCATCTCAGCAGTGTCAAATACAAGTAGTCCTCAACTTACAACCTTCATTTAGGGATTGCTCAACGTTACAATGGCCCTGGCGAAAGGGACTTACGACCATTTCTCACACTTACAACCGTTGCAGCATTCCCTGGTCACATGATCCAAATTCAGACGCTTGACAACTGACTCACATTTATGACCGTTGCGGTGTCCTGGGATTATGTGATCCCCTTTTGCGACCTTCTGACCAGCAAGGTCAATGGGGAAGAAGCCAGATCCACTTCATCACTGTGTTACTAATTTAACAACTGCAGTGATTCATGTAACAACTGCGGCGAGAAAGGTCGTAAAACGGGGCAAAGTTCACTTCATAAATGCCTCAGTAACAAAAATGTGGGGCTCAGTTGTGGTCATAAGTTGAGGAGGGCCTGTACTCTAAACTAGCCGTTTCCATAACAGCAAACCTATCCAATTGGCAAAACCCAAAATCAAAGTTTCCGTTTTTTCCCCCCACCTCGAGCACAAAGTCCAGTGGTGGTTTCCAAGTAGAAACAAAAGTCATTGTGTGTGTGTTTTTTCTTTAATCTTTGTGTGTGTGTGTGTGTGTGTATGTGTGTGACTTTTCCAAGGGTCTTGAAAGCCCCTCCCCAAACTCGCGAAGTTCAGGCCTACCTTTGCCGGAAATCCCCGTAGAGGATCCGGTTCGGGAATCCTTTCCGGCAGATCCGGATCCCTTCCAGCACTCCGTTACAACGCAGCTGGTGCATGACCAAGGGATTGTCGATCATCCCTGTGGAAGGTGGAGAAAAAGCCGGTGTGTACAAAAAGTAAAGAAGCTAGTCCTCGTTGAGGAAGGATCGGAAGACTGTGAGGGGAGCTTTCCTAATATTTGATGCTATCCGTAAGGCTTAATAGTAGTAGTAGTAGTAGTAGTAGTAGTAGTAGTAGTAGTAGTAGTAGTAATAATAATAATAATAATAATAATAATAATAATAATAATAATAATAATAATAATAAAGTTGGAAGGGACCTTGGAGGTCATCTAGTCCAACCCCCTGCTCAGGCAGGAAACCCTCTACCATTTCAGACAAATGGCTGTCCAGTCTCTTCTTAAAAACTTCCAGGGTTGGAGCATTCACCGCTTCTGGAGGCAGGTTGTTCCACTGGTTAATTGTTCTAACTGTCAGGAAGTTTCTCCTTAGTTCTAGGTTGCTTCTCTCCTTGCTTAGTTTCCATCCGTGGCTTCTTGTCCTGCCTTCAGGCGCTTTGGAGAATACCTTGACTCCCTCTTCTTTGGGGCAGCCCCTGAGATATTGGAAGGCTGCTATCATGTCCCCCCTCGTCCTTCTCTTCATTAAACTAGACATCCCCAATTCCATCAACCTTTCCTTATATGTTTTAGCCTCCAGTCCCCTAATCATCTTTGTTGCTCTTCTCTGTACTCTTTCCAGAGTCTCAGCATCTTTTTTACATCGCGGTGACCAAAACTGGATTCAGTATTCCAAGTGTGGACAGTGTTTAATATTTATTTGCTATGTATATGTAGGGGTGTGGGTCTATACATATGTTCTACATAGTATGTTTAGGTGTGTGTCATGTATGTGTTTCACTTTGAGAGCGGGCAACTCAATTTCATTTTTGATGTGTGCCGTTGTGCCCACAGTAAAAAAAATGACAATAAAGGGTATCTTATCTTATCTTATCTTATCTTATCTTATCTTATCTTATCTTATCTTATCTTATCTTATCTTATCTATCCCGTCCCGTCCCGTCCCGTCCCGTCCCGTCCCGTCCCGTCCCGTCCCGTCTCGTCTCGTCTCATCTCATCTCATCTCATCTCATCTTATCTTATCAATACATGAGATCAATTACTGGATCCTACTGTGATCTGATTGGCTCATTGCCAAAACAAGATGACACCTGACTGGTTCTCTAAACACTCATGCTCATTGGCTACAATCGGATGAAGGAAAGCTACCTGAGATCAACCTAAGCAAGTTGTGCTTCCTTTTTCTGGTTATTTGGCTATAACTTTTCACAGAATACAGTACAGATAATTGAACAAACTTGGCTGCATTACATTCTTGATTCAATTATCTTTCCATTGATATATAATTTTATGGTACCGCTCCAAAAATAAAAGTGGTGTTATTAGCCATCCAGCCTCAAATGTACGCTTTTCCCAAAAGGTTTCCACAATTTTGGCCACTACTGTATTTATTATCTTACATTTATGTCTGGTTGGCCACCCAGAGTTACCAAATTAAAACTGGCGGCCGTGAACATGCTTGAAACGAAGATGTCACGAACAAATTGGGTGGCCCTCGAAGGTGGGGTGTGTGTGTGGGGGGGGGGGTGTCTCACCTGGGGTCTTGGTCTCGTTGGGGATGATGCAACGGACAAAGTGGGGGTGGGTGGAACGCAGGTTGGTCATCAGCTTGTTGAGGTTCTCCTGGTGAAGAAAAGGAAGTCGGGAGTTTTACGTTTGGGGGGAAAAGAGGATTAATGGGTTGGGGGAGAAAACTGAGGAAGGGCAGAGGGAGGGTGGAGGAGGAAAGGGAAGAAATGCAAAAACAGACAGATGCTATAGAGCAGAGGTCCCCAACCTTTTGGGCACCAGGGACCGGTTCCGTGGAGAGAGGTTTTTCCGCGGACCGGAGAGCGCGTGGTTTTGTGTGCTGCGTACATCCCGTGGATGGGGTTTTGCTTGTTTGTGCGGACCGGTTGTCGGTATGCCATGGCCCGGTACTGGTTCATGGACCGGGGGTTGGGGACCCCTGGTATAGAGGTTGGTGGGGAGAACTTCAGTTAGGCAAGCAAGAAAGGAGATAAACAGATAGGAAGAATGGATAAGGGAAGGGGAGGGGAGGAGAAGAGGGGAGGGAAGGGAAAGAGAAGAGAGAAGGGGAGGGGAGGGGAAGAGAGGAGAGGAGAAGGAGGAAGGAAGGAAGGAAGGAGAGGAGGGGAGAGGGGGAAGGGAGGGAGGCAGGAAGGAAGGAAGGAAGGAAGGAAGGAAGGAAGAAAGGAGGGGAGGAAAGGAGAGGGAGAGAGGGAGGAAGGAAGGAAGGGAAGAGAGGAGGGGGAGGAAGGAAGGAAGGAAGAAGGAGAGGGGAGGAAAGGAGAGGAAGGAAGGAAGGAAGGAAGGAGAGGAGAGGAGGGAAGAGGAGGGGGGAAGGGAGAGAGGAAAGAAGGAAGGAAGGAAGAAGAAGAGGGGAAGGGAGGAGAGGAGAGGGGAG